CGGGCCATCTTTTCTGTCCTGCCAGTGATTAGACGTTGTCCTCTCGCGGACGCTCACCTAAGTCCCGGGAAGTAATCTCTGTTTGCGGGGGAGCAGCGCGAGAAGTACGTTACCACCGCGAAAAACGTCACAGGAAGAAAATTTGGCGCCCAACGTGGGGCCCGATTAGGCAAACGGAGAAATATCGTAACGATCGCTAGAAATAGCGATACGGTTGGGGAAAAATAATCGCGGGCAATACATCTTTACACCCGTGAGTAAATAATTAACCGAATATCGGCAAGTAACGGCTGCTTTCGAGTCGTGTATCGAACGCTATCATTTTTTATATATTATCGCCTACAAGTTTTCTTATATTGCAGTATTAATTTCGTTTGGTAACGAATTTTTTTTTCTTTCTTCTTTTTTGTTTCGTTGAGACTGTGTCGTCCGATTACTGTTAACTCGTTTATGTGTGACGAATTAAATTTGTTTAAGTAACGTTGTGCGTTTCGTATCATATATTTTCGTCCCGCTAATAGCAAGAGCCGTTGATCGATCAGAGAAGGTTTCTGATAGCGATCCTGCTGAAAAATAAGCAAGGGTATTGTTAGGACGGTAGGATACTCAAGTTCTGTTTTCATTATCGATACAAAGATCGGAGAGCGAGGCCCGATACACCACCCGGGGCGCGGTGGTCCGGAACCCGCCGGAGACGGAAGACATCGCGGTCCAGGCGAGAGCCCCGCGGAGGCACGTGGCGGTGCAGGTGGGGCCGAGCACCCGAGATAGAGGAACGCAGACGGAACCGGAGCCAGAAGAGGACCGACCCTGGCCAAGCGGAGTCCACCGTCCCGCGTCGGGCCCATACATCTCCCTGGTGAGCCCGCTCCCGCCGGAGGCGCACGAGCGATGCTGGGGGTGCGGATCGGGCAGTCATAGGGCGCGGCAGTGCCCTGAGCGCGGCTCCAGGCCGGTGTGCTACAGGTGCGGTCGGATGGGGGTGTCCGTACGCACCTGCCCCCGCTGCGCATCGTCATGGTGGAGGCCGGACCGAGACACCGAGGAGTGAAGTCCGGGGGGAAGCACCCCTCCGCGCTCGCGTTTTTTTCCTTTTCTCTTTTCCCCTCTCGTACCACATCCCGTTTTCTTTTCTTTTCCGTCTTTTGTTTTTTTCTTTTTTTTTTCTTTCCCGTTCCGTTTTTTTTTTTTTCGTTTTTCGTGCCGGATACGGCTTTTCGCGATTATGCCGTTTCGTTGTTTTTTTTTCTTCCGTACCGGGAACCAGAGGCGTGATAGCCCTATGGGTTGTGCCCGATGAGAGGGAAACAATAAAGCGCTTGTAATACTGCTCTACCTTTCCGATCTATTCCTCTTATTTGCCTTTCTACCCTCTGTCTACTGTCTCGCGCGCTGCTCTAAGTATGGGCTAGTCGACTTGTTTTCTCTGCTCTTCCTCCTTACCAATACTCCTTGACTTGCTGCTAATCTTTTATCGTTCCGTTGTGGTGGCTGCACTGTATTTAGTATTGCTGCTTTATGATACTTTTTTTGTTTGTCTTGGTTGCTGTCGATTTTTGTTGGTTGCTGACTATATTTCGTTTGCCACTATTGCGCCCGATGGAGAGGATTTTAGCCGCTCGACCCGCTATTCCGTCTAACTTGCGTGGCTGCAGGAAACGGGACCTGCACGGTCCGTCCTGGCAGGGGGGAGTTTGTGACGTATTCGCGCCGCTCTTTCCCCGTCACAAAAGTTGAAAGATTTCGCGGGAGCCCGGGAAAACGAGCTGAAAAACGAGCGCCAAGATCCTCCAGGGCTTGCATGCATCCGCTTAGA